AGGCAGTAAAATTAATAAAATGCAGGCATTAAAGCATCATAGCCAGAACTAATCAATTACCTCACTATCATTATCTCACTGTCTCAGTAATTTTTTTGACATCTCTACAAAAACGTCCCCTTAATCTTATTTCACACTTGTTATTTTGTGATAATGGCATAAATAAAGCAAAACCAAAAAAATAAATAAAAATGTAAAATTAGCTCTTAGCATCTCTGTAGTTTCTCCTAGACAATAATAAGATCAGACGGAAACACAAATCAGACTTTTGCTTTAGTTTGTCCTGCTGCTCTGATATTTCTCCAGAGAAATTGTGGACATTTCTTATTGTTATGATGTCAAGTTTCTTATTGTTATGATGTAACGATAGAAGAACACTTTAATCATGAAAAAGGTTCTTTGAGTGTTCATGGTTCATTTTCTTAACTAAAGAACCCTTGAAGAACCATCTTTTTTCAGAGTGTAGAAAAACATATGAAGTCTTTGGTCTGTCTCACAAAGCAGGATTTGTTTAACCAGCTCATTCCAAGCTTATTTCAGTCTTAACCCCTGATTTTCAGTGTCAGGACTTTGGATCTCTTACATTGCCTCTGCAACTTTCCATGGTCAGGCTGCATGTCTAACCCGCTCCATGGCCGGCTGCGTTCATGGTTTTGGGTCATAAACAGCTCCTGCACCAATCAGGACTGAGCTTCTAACCAATTAGGCCAGTCAGGGTCAGCCTTCTGATGGAGGTTGACCTCTCCAGTCCTTTTAGGGTCTTTTTTATTTTATTTTATTTTATTTTTTGCTGTTTATAGCGTCAGTCATACACAGTTATCAAGAATACAAAGCAGTTATTCATCTTCTAAGCACTCGGGTTGCTTTTTACAGCTGTAAAGGCTTTATTTTCTGAATAATTACATTTTTTCTTTTTCCTTCTTTGGAAAATTCTGATGTTTTATGCTTCTGGCTGTTCATCTTAAACATCACACTTTCATGTCCATGCACACAAGGAGATTAGCTTGAACGACTAATTTATGTTTGTGACATTTACATAAGAAAGGAATGATTTACGGCTAGTTAAGGCTACGGTTGCACACTGTGAAATAAAGGTTCTGTTCAGGTAGATTTCTCATTCATCGAGGTACAAACAGTGTAAATGTTCCTCAAAGGTACAACAGTGGTTTTAAGGTCTGATTGTGAACCTTAAATAAGTTTTTCCAGGTGAAAAGTTCGTATTTGTACCTTTTCATAACCGAATGTTTTAAAACAGAACAGTAAAATAAAAGCCTGGAGACGAGACGGGGTGTGTGGAGTCAGTACAGCTTAGAACATATCATTTCAGTGGATTATGGTTCAGTTATGTTCCCTGACTAAAGGTACTGAGATGGAGCCTTGAGGGTTCCACCCCAGTGACAGTTTAGTACCTTTATTTCTGAGAGTGAACCAATGCAAGACTTTTGGGTCAGTGCTGAATATTGTTTGTGTATGTACATGTCGATGCCACATGTAAATGTTTATAAAATGAAGAAATTGTGGCTAACCTGGATTCGCCTTACAGAGAAATGAAGTGTGTATTTGAGTTACTAATGCAGTAAAATGAATAAATTGCAGATTTTTAGCAGAGTAGCCCTGCATTTTCACAACACGCTGCAAAAAGTGGTGTCTTGTCAAGTAAAATTATCTTAAATATAGTTAATAAATCTAATATTTCTCCTGTTGAGACTGTTGCAAGTTTAAATTAAGATTAGTTAACTTATTTGTAGACATTTTGTACTTGTTTTAAGTCATTTTATTAAGTAAAATTATCTCACTTTTTTGGCAAATAATGTTGCTTGTTTTAAAAATGCGCATGAAACCAGCAACATTATCTGCCCATATAGTGAGATAATTTTATTCAATAAAATGACCTAAAGTAATTATTGTCAAAATAAATGAAGTAGTCTTAATTTCAGCTTGAAACATTCTCAACAGGAGAAATATTAGATTTATTGACTATATTTAAGATAATTTTACTTGACAAGATGCAACTTTTTGCAGTGTATGAGTTTTCTCACTATCTCAAAACAACAAAACCATCAACCCAAACCTGCCAAACCTGAACACACCACAAACAAGTGAACTGCAGCTGCATTTTTTGGCTTTGTGAGGATGAAACTTGAACATGCTTTGTGAGACAGGCCTTATTTTGGGCCTTAAAGGCTGATAAATCACATAAACCTCTGAGAACACGACTCTGGATTCCTTTTTTCTTTTGCCGTGTGACTTTTTTGAATGTTTACACACAAAAAGACTTGTACGTGTTAATCGATGAGTTTGTTGCACATACCAGCAATAAATAATTGAAGGACCACTTGTGATCGTGTGATGTCGTTTTATTAAAACATAGAGTTGGACATTTCTTACATCGATATCTTTACAATTATTAATGTCATGGCTAAAATGGAAGCGCAGTATAGTTTCGATATACAACGTTTATGGGTTAGAAAATATATTCCAGTTCATCTTTACTCGTATTACCAGCTGCTACACAAAAGGCGACAGCCTCATTTACAGTTCCGCTGCTCCGTCTGGCGCTGGGCGTTCCTCTGAATACTAAACACTCAGACACTATGCATGTGTGTGTGTATAGGAAAACAACATGACGTGGGTCTGTTTCTGTGTGTACTGTGGCGTCCCACAATGCCTCAGTGTTCACAAGATGCTAATGAAATGAGAAGTGAGCACAGGAGGTCCGAATAGAGGACTTTTAACTAAACAAATACATACAGATGACCAGAAAAAAAGAAAAACACAACGAGGCTCGAGTCTATAGGAAAATATGAAAAATCTACTAAATTGTCTTTTCCAAATGTGTGCTCCTCAAAATAGGCCTGTGTGTGTGTGTTTGTGTCGGGGCGCAGTGCATGACAGCAGCGTGACTATTTCATAATTATCAACTTCATTTTAGCATAATTCAAGTTATCCACAGAATCAAACGATGCAAAAACAAACGAAACCAAAAAATCCATGAGTTAATGCCAAGCAACAACATGAGGCCTACATATTCTTTTATTTTTAATAATATACACAGATAAAAATGGATCCCCCCCCCCATTTCACTCTAACTGCCCGCTCTTCACTGCTAACTCATGACAAACGAGAAATGACCACTGCAAAAACTGTCCTTTAGGGAGTGAAATCACCTTAAAGAGTGAATATATCTAATATTTTTCATTGTGAGTTGTTTTAAAAGCTAAGTAGATCTTTTCATCTTGTAGTTCATATCCCTGGTCATGTTAAAGGGGAACTGCACCAATTTTCCCAAAAACTTTTACTTTGCAAAGATGTAGGTCATTTATAGCGGTTTGGGGTGACGTCCACCTCTAAAAGCTCCCTCACAGAAAGTTACTACATGAAATGGTTATGAATTCACTGCCTGATGATTGAGACACTGTTTTATGATAGTTTTGAGAAGATTTTGGTCTAAAACACATTCTTAAAAGCCAGAGATACATGCAGGGTGCTGTGAGGCAGAATAGTCCCCAAAGAAAACTTATTATTTCAGATTTTCCATCATCAACATATAAACTCAGAAGACTCGTGTAGGTTCACTGGTGGTTTTGGATAGTAAATAAAATGTCTATATTAGTGTTGTAGTCATGCGACCCCTGGTTCCTGGTTTCTTAAACGCTAGGGGGCGCTCCAAGCGAGTCCAAAATGAATTGGTTAAAATTAAGCATTTGGGCAAAATCATACTTTATAAATGCTTAAACATTTTTAATATAAATGAATACATTCATCTCCTGAACACAGAGCAGCATAAAACACTTTAACACTGTTGTTATATTTTTAAGAGCTTTTAAACTCAAAGGGATTTAAAACGGCGCCTCATGAACGTTCATGACGTCAGTGAGTGCGAACAGCCAATGAGCTGCTCCGCTCACCAACCAATCAGCACTCAGTAGCAGTAATGTTAACCAATCAGCACTCAGTAGCAGTAATGTTAACCAATCAGCACTCAGTAGCAGTAATGTTAACCAATCAGCACTCAGTAGCAGTAATGTTAACCAATCAACACTCAGTAGCAGTAATGTTAACCAATCAGCACTCAATAGCAGTAATGTTAACCAATCAGCACTCAGTAGCAGTAATGTTAACCAATCAACACTCAGTAGCAGTAATGTTAACCAATCAGCACTCAGTAGCAGTAATGTTAACCAAGCAGCACTCAGTAGCAGTAATGTTAACCAATCAGCACTCAGTAGCAGTAATGTTAACCAATCAGCACTCAGTAGCAGTAATGTTAACCAATCAGCACTCAGTAGCAGTAATGTTAACCAATCAGCACTCAGTAGCAGTAATGTTAACCAATCAGCACTCAGTAGCAGTAATGTTAACCAATCAGCACTCAGTAGCAGTAATGTTAACCAATCAGCACTCAGTAGCAGTAGCGTCCTGCTGCCCAAAACCCGTTTGCTGTATAAAAAGGAAACATACAGGTGAGTTTTCTTTGCTGTTTTAGTGAAATACAAACTTCTAACTTTTTGTTTTAAGCTCCATTCACCCCCATTCATTGAGGACTCGCTTGTGGGCGCCCTCTGCTGTTTTGCAGTTATGTTTTTGATAATGGGTGAAATAGGAAGAGGCCAGACTCCTCATACACAAGCTCTGTGCCTATCAGCATCACGGTAAAGAAATCTGAGTCTCCACAATCAACCATTTCAATCCAAACCACTCTGAATGACTCTGCTTACATCTCAAACACTGGAATTTAAAAACAAGTTGGTGGAATTCCTGTTTAAGCACGATTCATCATATACAGTCATAAGCAAATGTTTTAAACAACCCCTGGTCAAATTACATGTTTTGTTAAGTGAAAATTTGTTAACACATGCTCTACAGCGAACACTTCAATAATACTTAAATATGTCAGTGCACAATTTATATTTATATTTAATTTATATTTGCTAAGTTCAACATATTGGAAAACATAAAATATAAATTGTGCTTTTTGCACAGGCCATTTTATCTTTGTTTTTTTTTAAATATGTTAAATTCAGCCAATTTTACCCCCTGGAATAACTACTTCACTCTAAAATGGCTAAAACGGCTTCTTCACTCTTTATCGACTTCTGAAATGACTTAAAACAGAAGTAAACATGTCTAGAAATAAATCCAATAATAGTCTAAAAAGAGTCTCGCGAGGTCTCATTATTAGATATATTGACTGGATTAAGGATGATTTCACTCGCTAAGGTACCTTTTTGCAGTGAAAGACAAAGTGAAGGTTCCCCTCTGTTTCCCTTTTCCTCACTCGTCTAGGTAGATGGACCACTTTCATTTCACATCAGAAAGGCAGGGTTTTTAAACATAAACGATAAAGAAATTAAGGACAAAAATAACAATAATAATAATAATAATAATGAGTCTATGGAGGTCAGGCTCCTTCCCTTCCCTCTCCTCTCCTCCGCTTGTCCCCCCTCGATCATTCAGAAGTCCATGGAGATGGACCGCTGGCCCTGGTCGGCCACAGCGGCGCTGTTGCTGCGCGCGACGCTGCCGTGGTTACGGATGCTGATGCTGCCGCAGCCGCTGCCGATGCTCCCCGTGGCCCCGCCCCTCACGTAAATCTCGCAGGGGATTTCCTCCATCACTCGGTCTTCGATGACCTGCTCGGCGCACTCGTGAGTCTGTTTGTAGCCGTAGCAGCTTTTCTTGTAGCTGCCGGTGCCGCTGCCGCTGCTGCTGCTGTTGAAGGTCTTCATGGGCGGAGGAGGTTTGGAGAAGTCGTTGTGGTAGGACAGCTCCATGGAGCTCAGCGTGGAGCGGCTCTGCTTGGCGCTGGACGGCACCTGAGCGCCGCAGTGATGCTCGTGGACGCACCGGGACACGGTGGAGGAACGCCGCAGCTTATGGAAGCTCTCCAGCTCCTCGGAGAGCTCGGCCAGATCCGAGGACAGCTCCTTGTCCCGCAGCGAGAAGAGCTCGTAGTGCGGAGGGTCGAAAACCTCCTGGAAGCCGGCCTTGTTGAAAACGGCCGGGCGCCGCGCCACCACCTTCTTACGGGGCTGCTTCATCTGCACCAGGATGGAGATGATGAGCAGCACCAGAACCACGCCGGAGGAGATGCCGATGACAGTGCCGTGGGTTTTGGTGATCTGGTGGAAAAGGCCCTTAGACTTCTTCTCTGTCGGATGAAAATATTTTTGCAGGTCAAACATACAGTGATACACTGTCATTCAGACGTGTCAAATAAAACATTTCATGCAATTTCATATGCAATAATAATAACTTAATACTATAACACAATGCAGACTACACATCAAAATTGGTCCATTGTATAAACTATACAGATCCTAAGCACAGTTTTGATAGAAAAAGCCCTGGTGTCTGATTATAAACTAGAAAAAGAAAAGTATTTTTGAGTTTAATTAAAAATACATGCAGTATTTTTAAGAAACAAGATGTTATTAAATGATCAATAACATAGATAATTATCTACTTAAAGTAGTAGTTTATCATGTTATTCTCCTCTACATTTGTCAACACTTGAAATATGAGGCATTCTAGACACTAATTTCATTTATAACTTCTATCAATTCTTTTTTTATACCTTCTTACTAATTATTTCGAAACCTGTAAAGTTGCACAGACTAGCATTATGATATCATAATCAGTGCTAGCATAAGATATATAAACACCTTATATGTATATCTGAATTATACATTTTTTGTCATTGATGTATTATTGTTGATTTAAAAAGTGCTCTATAATGTTCATATGATCCACACAGTCATGCTGACAGACTGTAATACACTATAGGAAGTGTAGGGGGCGATATGGCTTCTACTGTTTCATTTAAAAAGCCTCTATAATGTTCATATGATCCACACAGTCACTCTGACAGACTGTAATACACTACAGGAAGTGTAGGGGGCGATATGGCTTCTACTGTTTCATTTAAAAAGCCTCTATAATGTTCATATGATCCACACAGTCATTCTGACAGACTGTAATACACTACAGGAAGTGTAGGGGGCGATATGGCTTCTACTGTTTCATTTAAAAAGCCTCTATAATGTTCATATGATCCACACAGTCACTCTGACAGACTGTAATACACTACAGGAAGTGTAGGGGGCGATATGGCTTCTACTGTTTCATTTAAAAAGCCTCTATAATGTTCATATGATCCACACAGTCATTCTGACAGACTGTAATACACTACAGGAAGTGTAGGGGGCGATATGGCTTCTACTGTTTCATTTAAAAAGCCTCTATAATGTTCATATGATCCACACAGTCATTCTGACAGACTGTAATACACTACAGGAAGTGTAGGGGGCGATATGGCTTCTACTGTTTCATTTTAAAAAGCCTCTATAATGTTCATATGATCCACACAGTCATGCTGACAGACTGTAATACACTACAGGAAGTGTAGGGGGCGATATGGCTTCTACTGTTTCATTTAAAAAGCCTCTATAATGTTCATATGATCCACACAGTCATTCTGACAGACTGTAATACACTACAGGAAGTGTAGGGGGCGATATGGCTTCTACTGTTTCATTTAAAAAGCCTCTATAATGTTCATATGATCCACACAGTCACTCTGACAGACTGTAATGCTCTACAGGAAGTGTAGGGGGCGAGATTTGGTTTCTGTTGTTGTGCTGAAGCATGAAAGAAGACACATTTGAATGATAGCTGGGAAAAAAGGAGAAGACTGAAGGCAGAAGAGTTTGAATACTCAGTTAATCAAATAATATTCAATAATTTAATCAATAATAGAAGCGTTCACTCTGTCTGTAACTAGATTTTGGCCGACTGAAGGTCAAGCTACAGTGAGAGGCAGTAGATTTTGTAAGCTTCCTTTATAACTGTGTCACACTTCACCTAAACTCGCCTCATAAGAACATTATGTAATGGTTGAAAGTGGCTGCAGGCAAAGTTCATTCTGCAAATGTCAGTTCAGTTTCTTAGTCTGAGAACATCAGCCAGGCCTAAAAACACACACATACTCACCCTTGCAGTGGTTCTCATCCCAGGGGTACACACAGTTCTGCACGCCGTTGCACACCAGTGAATTGTTGATGCACATGTTGCTGTGGCAGAAGAAGGTGTTGCCAGAGCAAGGAGCTGAAAAACAGAGGTTTGAGAGACGTGTTAGATGTTTTAGAGTACAGCAGTCGAGACTTAATAGGTTTAGCAACTCTTTTATTCTTCAGCTGGTTGTGATACTTAATCAGAAGAGTCGACTCTTCTGATTAAGTATATGTCGCTGCTGTCGGAACAAAACCTTATATCTCCAAAATGGCAACTTTACAGGAGAAGGAAAAAACCTACTTTACTTTTAATGTAAGTCAATGGAACCAGAATTTTTCCAAGTCATTTTGGGTCGTTTCTTTTGGTCCATCCATCGTGAAATTTACACACAATGTAAAGGCCAACAGGCATTTTCAAATTATGTCAAAAACTGAGAAAACAACAAAAATGGAGATACAAGGTTTTGTCCCGACATCAGCGATATGCAGCATCATACACACTTGCTGTGCAGTACTGGGGTACCTGGGGAGCACAGGGGAATTTGGAGACGATGTGAAGTGTTTTGTTGTGGTGGTGTAGTAAGGCGTGTTATGTAATTGTGAAAGGTTTTTCAGAGAGGGAAAGACCTCAGCAGACCTTGCTCATGGAATTATTCATAGGGAAATGACATTTGAAATGGGAGCTGGTTAACCCTTGTGTGGTGTTCAGGTCTGTGGGACCCATTTTCAATGTTTATCGAAAGAAAAAAAATGATGTGATTTATTGTTATTTCAACCTCAGATTCTTGGTCTTTGCTCATTTTACTGTGAAGATCATATAAAATAACCCATTTTCAGTGTCTTCACTCTGTTCACCCCCCACACATTTATATTACACATGTGGTGTTGGGTGAACCTGCGGGGAGTACAAGTGTGGAGGTGCTGTGTCATTCACTCTGTTCTCCTCCTACATGACCTGCTGTTAGTGTGTGTGTGTGTGTGTGTGTGTGTGTGTGTGAGGGTGGACAACATGGACAGGCTGCTGACTGGCTACAGCTGCTAAAGGAGAACCCTACACTGGACACTTGTGATATATTAAACATCTGGCATTTTTACACAAATTGTTGTGGCTGTATTGATATAAAAAACAATAATGTGGTGGGACCACCAGACCACTGAGCAACAAACACATCAACACCACTCAAGGGTTAAAAAAAGCAGCTATGGGAATGTTGCCATGGTGACAGCATGACTGGTATAGCAGTGGCGTTTCTACCCGTGTTTCCCAGGGCGATGGTGTTATGCACTATGCTTTATCTCACAGTGATCTGAACACATGCAAATGTTTCTCAAACATCCAACAGTGTATTTCAGCAAAGTCTGGGTGTGTTGTAGACGACTGGGGGCACTGAGACGGACCACTGCTCTGCACTGTAAGAAGAGCTGCCACTCAATAATGTATTCAAGGTTGGTCAGACATTAGAAGGAGCTCCCGAATGAGTCCAAAATGAAGGGGATCCTCTGGAGCTTTTGTGCAAAATCATAGTGTGTAAATGTTTAATCCTTTCATACAGACAAGTACACTAATTTTACCAACATAGAACTGCATATAACATTTAACATGGATTTTTATTATTATATATTATTATATTATTATATTATATATTTTGAGAGCTTTTAGATTCCAGTTATAGGACTTTATAACTTTTGACTTATGAACATAAGTCACTGTTTAGGGGTGAAAACCCATTGCTGTGAAAAACTATTCACACCTCTCCACAAAGACAGCTGTGCCAAGATAAAACAGACAACTGCAGCTTTCTTTACATTCAACAATCCGGCACGACTGACGCAACAAACACACAGCGTTTAAACACAACAATAACACTTCAGTAACTGTGAACTTGTTCGCTCACCAATGAAGGCGAAAATCCACCTCACTTCTGGTTTTGTAAATCATTGCGTTTCGATCAAATGTATATTGTCGCTTTTGTGCAAAAATTTCGTATTTTCATTTTTTGTTATTTTTTTACTTTTTTTTTGGCAAAAATTGAAAACATTATTTTCAAATTTCATTGTGTATGGATCAATAGAAATGATCCAAAAGTACTTGGAGAAAAAATTTGTTGCATTAAATTCTATTACAAGTTAATAAAAAAGTTTTTTCTTTCTCTGTAAAGTTACCGTTTTGGAGATGTGATCGACAAACAGCGACGATATATTAATCAACACTACTGAGGAAAAAAAGCACAGTTGGACTGAGGGACCACCTGTTTTACGGCTGCTATGAATAAGGGTTAATTAAGTATCCGCACTAACGGCTGCTAAATGTTACATTTTATTTTGTTTTTAGCTGCTTTGCTCTGTAGGGAATTGGATTTTTCCTACGTTTTCTGTTCTTTTTTCCTGTGTTTTTAGTTGTTATTCATTGGTACGCATCGTCCTGTTTATGACACTAATTTACAAAAGGGTCTGAGTGCCTGAGAAAGCCAACTCTGTACTTTTACTACAGGATCCAACTGTACGAGAACTTTGGTCTTCTTTGACAGTACCAAGGGCTTTGAAGGGAGTCGATGCCAAGGTATAAGAGCTTCCTGTGTTCAGACTGGGTGAAGATTAGCAGAGATGGACAGAGCGCTCGTCAAATAAACCATATTTTCTGCGAACCCTGGTCTCCTGACTCTCTGTCTGTGGCCAGATCAAAGATTGACATCAGCTTCATTCATTGACGAGGTGCCCTCTAGCGTTTGGCAGTCATGTTCTGGTATAATGAGAGAAAGAGGAAGGCTCCCTTGGACTGGCTCTGGAATTTTCCGTCACTGATCCCTTCACAGATGTGGAACATCCTGTTTGCTGTGGTCTGTGTCCCGTCACAATGGAAACGCAGTGTACGAGCTGACGAGGACTGTCCAAACACACCATTAGCCATGCAGGACGAGAGCTCCAGGCCCGGGTTAGTTAGCGCAGCCCGTGTTCAGCATTCTGCAGGGATCTGATGGAGGTTCAGGTGTGAGAGTAGGGCGAGCGAGAGGGAGATAACGCATGCTCTTCACGTATAGAGGGAGAACGCTCCACCAGTGTGGGTGTAAGTGTTTCTGACAGCAGGATGAAGAGGGTCGTAATGTTCCCCCGTCTCCCTGCAGGATCCGCCACTCTCTCGCTCGCTGCTCACTTCCAAACTCATTAGCCGCCACTCGCCTTCAAACGAGCGCTTCTCCCCGTCTCCCACCCAGCCCCCGTCACGCTCAGGCCGAGGGGGGCTCGTTTTCTCCAGGTCCGCTCTCCTCTCTCTGTCTGCTTAGCGGAAGCCCATTCAGCCTGACAGCCGGAGCGGGACACTGGTTCACCGCCTCATAAAGATTAATGTGTCTCTTTCAGCCTTTAGATTACACTTTGTTCCTCCGGCTCACAGTAACACATGCAGCTCCTGCTGCCAAAACCACTAAACACAACTCAGAACCAGCCTCAGATCCGCTTCACACCACCCGACTTTCTGTCCAGAAAAAAAAAAAACGCCTTAGAGGACATTAAGCTCACCAGAAAATCTGCATTCTAGTAATGAGAAGAGAGAGAGAGAGAGAGAGAGAGAAGAGAGAGAGAGAGAGAGAGAGGAGAGAGTGAAGAGAGAAAAAAGAGAGAAGAGAGAGAGAAAGAGAGAAGAAAGAGTGAAGAGAGAAAGAAAGAAAGAGAGAAGATAGAGGAGAGAGAGGAGAGAGCAGAGAGAAAAAAGAGAAGAGAGAGGAGAGAGCAGAGAGAGAGAAGAGAGAGGAGAGAGCAGAGAGAGAGAGAAGAGAGAGGAGAGAGAAAAAAGAAAGAAGAGACAGAGAGAGAGAAGAGAGAGTGAAGAGAGAAAGAAAGAAAAGAGTGAAGAGAGAGCGTGAAGAGAGAGAGAGAGAGAGAGAGAGGAGAGAGTGAAGAGAGAAAAAAGAGAGAAGAGAGAAGAAAGAGTGAAGAGAGAAAGAGAAGATAGAGGAGAGAGAGGAGAGTGAAGAGAGAAAAAAAGAGAAGAGAGAGGAAAGAGAGAAGAAAGAGTGAAGAGAGGAAGAAAGAAAGAGAGAAGAGAGAGGAGAGAGAGGAGAGTGAAGAGAGAAAAAAAGAGAAGAGAGAGTAGAGAGCAGAGGGAGAGAAGAGGAAGAAAGAAAGAGAGAAAGAGAGGAAGAGAAAAAGAAAGAAGAACAGAGAGAGAGAAGAGAGAGTGAAGAGAGAAAGAAAGAAAAGAGAGAAGAGAGAGAGCGTGAAGAGAGAGAGAGAGAGAGAGAGAGAGAGAGAGAGAGAGGAGAGAGAGAGAGAGAGAGAGAGAGACTGTCTGTGAGTCTGAGAGCAGCTCTGTGTGAGACGCAGCTCGTGCGCTGTTTGATTGATGAAGGCTGTAAATCTGGCTCTGCCTGCCGACCTGTTTGGGAGTGCAGCGCGTTCCTGGACGCTGCTGTTTTCCCGTTTCCGTGATGAAAGCGGCTCCAGGCCAGCGGAGCGCCGCGCTTTCAGATGCATTAGCGTTCGCTCAGAGCTGCCAACCGATTCAGCCACTCATTTCTCTGATTATCCAGGCATTTAATAAAAATATTACAGGCCAGTGTTCCACAGTAATTATCCACAACCCACGTACAACCTTTACACAATCCCCGGCCCGAGACGCCAGAAAGCGGAAGGCAAATTGCACACTGTTCCCCTCCAAATGAGTAAGTCATGAGGGAAAACCTCATTTAGCTTTTTTCATTCATCAGTGCCAGATAAATAATTCCCCTTTTCCATTAGGCGTGACCCATTAGCATGGAAAATGCACCAGGCTTATTTGAATTACACGGCGAAAAGCTGAGGGCGAGTAATGGCCCCTTCGATATCGCTGCTTTTGGACGGCACTAGCTTTAATTAACTTTACACATTTCCAAATGGATGCCGAACCCCGGCGTTGTTCTGATCTGCTCGTACAGCATATTGGATTAACAACAATTTACCCGAATTGATGACTTTACTCTTACGTTTTTAACTGGGATCAAACCAACAGATTGTGAAGCGAGCTTAAAAGCAAATGGACCAGTCCTGCATATTAACATAAAACCCTTTAATGCTGAGGCAATAATGTAGCTACTTCTGTAGTTTAATCAATAACGCTTC